TATTGTCAAATATATCAAGGGAAGTCATGTCTTTCCTAGTGATGGTAAGAATACTGGCCATTATTTACTGCAACGTTTGGTCTTCAGTTGCATGAGGCCACACTCAGAATATTTGAGGATTTTCTTATCACTGTCCATAACTTTTGAATGGCACTTGTTGTGGGTTCAATAAGATTGAACTTAGATACTTCCTTCTGGTGGGAATTGCAGCTTCAATTGTTGTTTCTTCTCTAATACAACAAATTCTCGATCTATATCTTTAATCTGTCAGCCTCACTTATTTTGCTGTTTTTCATTAAAGTGAATATAGTTTCACCATTAAATTCTTTAATGACATTTGATATTTTGAAACATTGCCCTGATTTTATTTTACTTGTGTCTTGATTCCACAAGACCAGTCGTAGAGATCCACTGTTATCTGTAAACAAGACTTCTTGNGTGCCCAAACCTTAACCGAGCCTTAAACTCAAATCCATTTTTTAATAGTAAAGCTGTGTATGGTGTACTGAAATTGAAATACAGTCTTTCTATTTTAAAGCACAACAAAAGACTAAAAGAAAAATCTTTTAATAACAACTTATTCAAGAGAATGAACTAATCCATGAACTAAGATTTCAAAAGAATTTACACTTGTTGCTTCACAGATGAAAAGGGGAAGGAAGTTCTAATGTTCCCATAACTCCAAGAAAAAAAAATATGTTTTAAGAACATTTTGTTCTTGCATGTCTTATCTGTAGAGTTAACTTATTGTTGTGTCTAAACAAATAGAGATCAATAACAGTAGATAATGCTGTCATTTTTTTCATTTAATAGATATAGCACAATTTGTGAGAGGTAATATGGTGGATTCATATAGGAAATTCAAGTCGCTTAATAACATTTTCTTAATTATGTTTGATTTCAAGACAGGTACTACATCAATTTAGGCTAATGTACATTTATGTGTATAGCACAGAACTTGCCAGGTATTTTATTAACAGTGTATGATAAGGAAAGTAAAAGGAAAATGATTAGTTCAAGAAATAGAAACTCTTTGATGAAAATTGTGGATTAATTTCTCAATATTGTTCAATGTTTGATCTTGTTGACTATTAAGCAAATGGTAAAAATGGAATACAACTTACCACTTCAATCATTCCTAGTTGGGTCACTTAAAAGGGAATTATTTAAAGAGAATTAATTTTTATTACTTTTGATGACACATAAATGCAGTTATTTTTGTTATTTAAAAATGTTCTTGGTCATTTGAAAAAGTTCATTCAATCTTTGTTCCACCTGTTGTCTGTAGTTTTAAGTGTTTCATTTTTTTTATACTTTTAAGTCTATCAAAGTCATCGGCACTACTACAAGTGAGGACAACCATTTAACTTGACTTTATCCTACATATGATGTAGGATCCTACATGTGATGCCCAATGTTTGTTCAGACTTTTCGATATCCATCTATAATGCAGTGGTTTTGTCACCTCTTACTTTCCTGCTTTGGCTGAGTTATGTTTTCCTTTCTATCAAGAAAGTGTTTTATAATTTTTTCAAAATGACTTTATAATAATTATATGACAGGAAATTTCAATGCAACACTGAATCTGTTTTTCTGGATTAGCTTTGCTAAAAATTCATGTTATTGCTTTTCATCAACACGGTTAGAAAATTACTACTGGAAGACAAGTTCTCTCATCCTCTCAATTTTTTTCTGGAGTTGGTGGCTTCTTGTTACTGACTCTGTGTTGGTCTTTAACTCTGAATGAGCACATACAAGAAACTCAACCAAAGAGTTTTTAATCAAATAAACAAATCAACCTCAACCAACTTGCAAGAACATCACCACAACACTTTTTTGTAGGTGTTTAAAGTTTCAGTTCATACGCGTTTCTGTTAGACCGATCCATTATAACCAAGAGAAGCTCAAAAGTGAAACTGAAATGAGAAAACCCCTTTCTAATTCCAAAACAACAACTTTGTAAAAAAGGAATTTTTTTTATTGAGAGTTAATTGTATCGGCACGTGTGTGCTTCACGGTTCAGCTTCTTTTTAGATCTCTTGCTTAGGAAAACTGTTTTTTCGCAAATCGAACACAGTTATCCATCTTTTATTCAACAAATAGCTTCCATGTTGTTGTGCATCTGTATAGCAATAGATCACAGATCATGTGCCAAACTTTCAGTGGTTATCAGAACAAAAAAGTGGTACACAGGGCGTGGCCGCGTGAGTCACTGATGTTCTCAACAAAATTTTTCTCACCACATAAACAGTTTGCCATCGTTTGTTTAACAAATAGATTCCGCTTTGCATTTGTTCAGTAATAGATCACAGATCAGATGCCAAAATGTCAGTGGTAAGGACAAAAATGTAATATGCAAGGCATTGCCAATTGTCTCAGTGATGTACTTACCACATTTTGACGTCTGATAAATTACTATACAGACCCTTGGTAGCATAGAATCTATTTG